CTGATTACTTCAGATGTTTTTCGGTTATGCTATTCTTTGTGTTCTCACTAAGGGAATGGCACAGGTGGCTCTCATGACCATCGGCCCCAGCGGGTCTCTCCTCAATAGACGGCCAGTGGCTGCGAAGCAGAGACCTGTGCTTTCCTAGTGTTTAGGAAAAAAGGGGAAGGGGAGAGGGGAAGGCGGGGGAAGGAGGATGGAGAGGTGGGTGGTTTTGGGAGTTGGACGGGGGGGTTGAAGGTGGATGGGTTTTTGGTGATGGGTTAGGGGAGGGGCAGGCTGAGTTGGGTGGTGGACGAGAGGGGAGTTGGAGGGTGGAGGGTTCTGGTGCTGGGTTTAGGGGGGAGGTGGGATAAATGAGCAGGGAGGGTGGGGGTGGAATACTTTATGGGGTTAGAGGAGGGAACGGGTGGATTTTGTTGGGAGGAGAATTTGAGTTGGAGCCCTAGGTGGCTTTGGAGGTCGTATGGGGAGTTGTTTTGAATGGTTTAGATAGGACTCTTGATCTGGCTACAGTGGGTTGTGAGAGGAAATAGTCTTCATCGCCGATCTTATCATGCCAGCAGAGAGTTCTGGTTAATTCCAGTGAGTGAAGGCGGAGATAGAATAACAAAGGGAATGGTCGTCCTCATTTTCCCTAGATGGAGGGATGTAGCGGGGGGGACCCAAGCGGGCCATGGAAGGTGCATTGAGGGAGTCTTTGGTGGACGCAGAGGTAGGTTTGAGAGGCCCCCCGTAACAGGCCTGACTGTAGCCTGGAGCAGTGGGGGGATGCTTCACGGGAGCTGTTTAGGTGGGGATGGTGTGCTGAAGATGATGGAGCAGCCCACTGCTGCTGCTGTATCCACTGCTGCTGACTGGGAAGTGTGATGGAGCAGCCACAGCTGCTGCTCAGAAGATGATGGAGCCAGCCACTGATGCGGCTGTATCCACTGCTGTGGTGGTGCAGTATATGCGGGTTTGGCGCTGATGAAGATTGTGGCAGTGCTGGACTGATGCTGGTCGGCTGGAGGGCTGTGTTTGAAGCTCTTTCGGAGCCAGTGGAGGTTTTGATTCTGTTGGAACCTTGAGGTGTTTGAGTCTTCTTTGAATCGTGGAGGGTGTGGTGTGCTTTTGAGGCGGTGGGGGTGGCAGTGACCTCGGGAGTCGGTGGAGTTGGTCGTGATGGTCTGTGCCCCTTTGCTTCTTCTTTATCCCTTTCGGACGGCGTGCACGCGCTGCGCAGGCTGGGTCTTAGGGCAGATGCAAAGTTTCCATCATCAATTTTACTCCGGAACAAAAAAGGAATGGTTAAGTTTTAGAAGCCAAGTCAATGAACACTTTGAAAATGATCATACAGGATGGCCTTAAGTGACGGCACTCAGGGTTAGGCTTTTTTTAGTATTCAGGGCTTTTTGTTAGGTTTTTAGGCATTTGGAACAGGAGTGGTTAAGTTTTAGGCTTTTAACGATCAGGGATGGTTAAGTTTTAGGTTTTTGTGTCCGGGGCGGTTAGGTTTAGGCATTTGGGAACAGGAGTGGTTAATTTTTGGCCTCTTGCATTAGGATTTTTATGTCCTTCTGGATGTTTAGTGTAGACTCTTATGGGTCCGGTAAAGGTGAGTATAGGTAATATTGTTCAGGTTTGTGATTTGTTTCCCATTTCAATTTCACTTCCTGGTTGTATGCTGTCCTTCCTGGTTATTTTGCTCAGTCATATCCTGGTTGTGGTGTATTTGTAAGTATCTTATTCTTTCTTTCAGGATGTTTTATCGTTAAGGCTGTTTAGGTTTCCTGTTTTTTTTCAGATGTGTGTTGGTGTTGGATTATCCTTTTTGTTTTAACCAATGGTAAGTATGAGTTCTGTGTGTTTCTTATTCTGTGCAGGTTTATACAGCTGTTTATGTGTGTGCTGTGTGTAATGTGTGTGTATGCGTGTATTGTGTGTATGTAGGTGAGTGTGTGTGTGTGCTTGTGTGTGGGTGTGTGTGTGTTGTGTGGGTGTGTGTGTGTGTGTGTTGTGCATTGTGTGTGTGTGTGTGTGATGAGTGTGTGTGTGGTGGTGTGTGGTGTGTGTGTGTGTTTGTGTGATGTGTGTGTGTGTGTGTGTGTGTGTGTTGTGTGTGTGTGTGAGTTTTTTGTGTGTGTGTGTGTGTGTGTGTGTGTGTGTGTTGTGTGATGTGGTGTTGTTGTGTTTTGTGATCATTGATGTTTCCTGTTTAATCGTTGTGGGTTCTGGTGTTGAGCAACTGAATCAATGTTTCATGTTTTTTTGTCTTTCTTTGTCTGTCCAAGTGGAGTTGAATTCTAGTCCTGTGATTCTGAAATGCTTCTATCCATGTAAACTTACTGTGTATTTGTAGTGGGGAGAGGAAGCCTTTTCTCCTTATCAGGATGTATTTGTATAGAATCATTTGTTGGAAACGATGAATCTTTAGGGTTTCCCCTATAATGGTTTCTCACTTGTAGTGCAGGAAAGATGGAGTAGATGCAGTTCCGGGTTTTGGGTGGTAGGATTTGTGTGAATTTTTATGGTACAGGTTGTTGGTATGGTTTTTGATATATTTCAGATTTATGGAAAAATGTCTTTTATTGGGTGGGGTTCTTAACGTTCTGTAGCTGATCCAAGTTTGGCTCTGTCTTAAATAGTCCTGTAGATTTCGCGGTTCCTTCTGGATGACTGTATCTCCTGTGTTCTGGGTATAGTCCTTGGTTCGACATAAATTGTAAATACGTATTGTTTGATATGGGGGGCTATTTTTTTTAATGCTGGTGTGGAGTTCGTTGGGGGGGGGAAATAAATGCAAATTAATTCGGGCTATGTCGTCTTTTGTTGTTTTATTGTTGTTGTTGTATCGAATGTGGCTAGGCACTGCATTAAGAATGAGCGGGAATAGCCTCGGTGTCGTAGGGCTCTCAAATATGGGTCTGAACTGCTGCTGCAGAAAGTCTGAGTGTTGTGTACCATATTTACGTTTGAAATAGGGTGGCTGTGTTTATCAGGGCTTGAATGTATGTTTTGGGTGGAAGCTTGTTTTGTGGAGGTGTGAATGTGTGTCCGTAATCTTTGAACAATATCTTTTATGGTCCAGGGTTTGATGTGTTTCAAATGGACGGGGGCCTATGGTACACTGTTGTGTCTAAGAAGTCCACTTTTTGTGGGGTGTTACATATTTTAGTTTGATGGAGGTGTCGAAGGAGTCCAGGGTTTTGTATGAAGTGTGTCAAGTCCGTTTCTGTTGAGTCCAAATTCCGTAAATATCGGCCAGGTATCTGGTGATATGTTATGGATGTTTGATGGTGCATTGTTCAGTGGCTTTTGTCTCCCAGTCTGCATATTATGTTTGCGTTTGATGGTATACGCGAATAATTTCTTGCCCATGGCTGTGCCTTTAATCTGGTAAATAAATATTCTTCATCGAAACTCAAAATCAATTCCGGTTCAGGTTTATTTCTAGGAGGTTGAAGTATTTGTGTGTACGGTCTCTGGGGTGGGGTCAGGGTGTTATTCTAATATTTCTGTACTGCAGCCAAGCCATGCGGGGCCGTTGGCAATGTAGTATAGAGGGGAAGGCAATGTCAATGGTTGAAAAGGAAAAGGGAAGAGTAGAGGTTATTTTTAGGTTTTTTTGATGATGTTGATAAAGTGTTATGTGCTTGGAGATATGCTGGGTGTTTGATAGAGAGTGGGGTGGAGATAATGTTCCAGTATTCGTCACACCTGATCGATATGTTTTTTTCGCTGGAGCAGTTGAGATGATAGGGTTCTACCTCGGTGGGATTTCGTTTAGGTATGGTCCATGTCTGTGGAGTCTTTATGTATTTTTGGAAGCATGTAAAATAGTCTGGTCTGGGTTCGTCGGTCCCCTTTAAGTAATCTTTCTGTTTTGAGTCTATTTTTTAGTTTGTGGAGTGTGTCAAAAATGTGTCTTATGTGTGTATTGTATCCGCGGTATATGGGGTGAATCCCAATTTCCTATAATATTGAGTGTTGTTTTAGTGTTTAGAGATTCATTGTGTATTGTTCTCTGTTCCATGTTAACTGTGGTGTTTCCTGAGTCGGCAGGTGTAATCACTATGTCTTTCCGTTTAATTAAATCTTTTTAGGGCTTGGTTCATCTTCTGTAGTATGAAAATTTTGTTCTTATCTTCTTGGTTTGTGTTGTTCCTAGGGCTTTGAGGTTCTGCTTTATAAGGTTGGTATCTCTGGGGGAAGCATAGGACAGTGGGGGCTCCAATGTGGACGGTGGTCTGAAGAGTCTTTTCTGTGTGAGTGGCTCCCTCTGGTGGGGGAAAAAGGTAAGTTATTAATTTTCCTGTAGGTATTGTTGAATGTTCTATTTGTAATTGTTGTTTTGATTTTTGCGAAAGTCCAGGGTGGGTATGAAGTCAGTCCTTTGTTTAAGATTTGTAATTGGGTATGGGTGGGTTGCATTTGTTTGGATTAAGACCCTTACATTGATTTTATTGTTGGAGTTTGCCCCCCTTAGTCAGAGGGAGCTGCTCTCGGGGCGCGTGAAGTTTTATAAAGCTGGTCCAATGTTTGTTATTATATTTGCTGTAGGTTTTGTCCCAATGTACATCCCAGCGTACTTCGGTTTTGAAAGAGTGTCTGCAGGCAGGGCCTGGGATGTGTCCTATGGTTTTCTAAGGTGTAGGCATTTCATTCTTTGGGATGGTGGCTTGTTGATGATGTGGGAGATTCCTCGGAGCAGTTTTATTGCGGGGATCCAGATTTCTGAGCCAGGGAAGCGTTCTTTCTTTTGGCGGGCCTGATGGCTGTTTGATTTGTTTTATTGCGCGTTCTCTGCATGCCTGGTCCCTGTGAGGAGCCAAAGGCTAGGGACTATAGTTGTTCCATTCTTTTATTGTTGTATGGCGAGTTTAATTGGGGCAGCAATGTGCATGAAGTTTCCCCCCGGGGTAACATTCAATTTGGGTCAGGGAATTGAGTGGCTGAGGGAATCTGCGTATGTTGGATTCTCCTATTATTAACCCACTTTTTTTCAATGGTTGGAGTGTTCAGTTTTTTATTTTCCGTGGAGTTCTAATATGTACTCTTGGGTAGTAACGGCTCTTGGTTGGTGGGTGCTGGGTGAGGTTCATGGGTGTGGAATTGGTGTGTGACGGGCCGGTGGTGTGAGGGTCCCTGCATTTTGGGTTAGGTCTTCTGGTCGATGGTCGATGGGGGGTTGGTAGGATTGGGGTTTTGTCCATTTTCTGGGATTCGTCCTCGGCCAGCTGGCTCAATAGGGTGGTGGGGGAGGACCTCTCCTCCCTGTAGGGGGGGAGGTATAGGGCGGGTTCCTCATAGGGGCTTGTGTTAGCTTCATCTAGTTCATCCATGGGCATACGGCTGGCTGAAAGTGTCTCCTTTATTGAATCTGATTCGCTGTGGGTTTTGGTTGTAGGGTGTCTGTTCCTTGTTACTCTTTTAAATCTCCTGTATTTGTTCCCATTGCTTGGTGTTTGTGAATTTGTGGTGTCTTCTGAGTGGAGGTCTGTGGTCGTGGAATTGACTGTCGAGTTTGGAAGCACCGAGGCCCGGTTTTGTGGCGGTGGGAGAGTAACAAGTGGAGTCGCTCTCCGTCGGGTGCTGGCGGGGATGTTTCCTGTGTCTTCACATAAGTCTGTTGGGTTCCCTCAGGGGAGGGTTTGAGTTTATAGTGAATCTGTTATGAGTGCTTTTAAGGCCGCTGGGGGTGAATTCCCCATCAGTGGTGATGTGTTTTCATTTCTACAGCCTGAGATGACCACTTCTGCCGTGGTCAATTCCGCCGTGTGGATACGCGGGCAGATTCCGTCGTGCCACGTTGGTGGCGATGTTAAATGCTGGTTTCCAGTCCATCGGTATTCATTACTGAGTTGTTGGAGTAGTAATTGTTCCAACGTTCAGATAGTGCTGTTCCAGAATTCAGCAGGGTAGTTTTGTGTGTTACCCAATTTTTTGTCATTTCCATTCGATCAGTTCTAGGTTTGTGGTGGGGCAGTGCGGGCTTGATTAGGGTTGAAATTTGTGAAAGGTCATTTGGGCTATCATTCTTGGTTCGTCCTTTCCTGTTTTTGGGGGGAGAACTTTCTTGATGGGATGTATGACTTTTATTACACCGTTTGTAGGTAGGACTTGTTGGTGTAGGTTCTTTGTCATCTGCGTGAGAACTGGATCAAGGCAGGTTCATCTGGTGGTTGTCATTGCGGTTAATGTTGACTATTGAGGAAGCGGTGCCTCTCATGTTTGAGACCGTTCTCTTCCTTCATTGTACCGTCGTTATACCTGGTAAGATGTGTCGGTATATGGTCTGGCTTGTGTTGTTTGTGTTCGAAGTGATCATCTGCATTAGGAGACGAAGCTGAGGTTGCTATGGTAGGGACCAGTAAGATGTGTGGCCACGGGGGCGTAGTCAGACTAGCGTGCGGGTGTCTCTCTGAAGGAGAGAGTGTTGGCACTGGCCCTCCAATTATTCTGGGTGGTCCTGGGTCGTTTGAAAAGAATTGTGTTTTGACCCAGGCCAGTCTTCCCTCCATGGTCAGGTCTATAGACCATGTGGTCTATAAGGTTGGGTAACTTTTTGCTCTGTGATAGGTAAGTCACCTTTTTTTCTTTTGTTCAATAGTCTGTGTGTTTAAGCGGCAACGTTTTCGACAGGAGGTTCGTCTTCCTCAGGCCTCACACACAGACTGATGAGAGCAGCAGGTGGAGTTGGCTTTTATGATGGGGCACGCTCCACCCCCCCTGCGCAATGCGCCTCCTTCAGTCAGGGTATGCAATTTGAAGTCATTGTGACATTGTCTGGTGGCCTACGTCTGCAGTTTCTATGTATCATATTTTGCTGTTTTATTGTTGGTATACAGTTGACTCTGTGATGTTTTTCTCTTGTAATAATATGTATCTTGTAAGCAATGGTGTTCGTGGGATTGTTTCTGGGTGATATAACTTTAGTAAGCACAGGGGTCATGGTGTATGTTTTAGATGTAGTTTTTCTCCAAGCAAGGCAAGGCATGTTTATTTGTATCAGCACAATTCATACACAAGGCAACTCAAAGTGTATAGCTGAACAAGATAGCATTAAAATCATAAATAATCACAGAAACATTAAAAAGAAAGATAAAAAAAGATAAAAATCCCTCAGTTGTATGCACAGCTAAAACAGCACAGTTTTTAACTTGGTTTTAAACATTGTCAGAGAGGAGGCTGTCTCACATCTTCAGGAAGAATTGTTCCAGATTTTAGCAGCATGAATCTGAAAAGCAGCACTCCCCATGTTTAGTTCTGACTCTGGGCACTAACAGGAGTCCAGTCCCTGTGCTCCTCAGAGTCCGGGCTGGTTCATATGGGACTAACATGTCACTAATATATTTTGGTGCGAGGCCATGGAGAGACTTGTACACAAGCAAGCTGTTTTAAAGTCTATTCTCTGAGCCACAGGAAGCCAGTGCAGAGACCTGAGGACGGGGACTAATATGGTCGTACTTCCTGGTTCTAGTCAGGACTCGAGCTGCTGCATTTTGAATGTACTGCAGCTGTTTTACAGCTGTTTGGACAGACCTGTGAGCCAGGCCATTGCAGTAGTCTAACCTACTGGAGACAAATGCATGGATATGAATCTCCAAGTCTGCTTTAGACACTATGTTTTTGATCCTGGAAATGTTTTTTAGATGGTTAAAAAGCTGCTGATGTTACTGATTTGATGTGGCTATTAAATTTATTCTGAGTCCAGTATTACCCCTAGATTTCTGACCTTGTTTGAAGGTTTTAGGGAGAGAGACTGTAGGTGACAGATGACGCTCTCTCTTTGTTTCTGGGGACCAAAGACAATCATTTCAGTTTTGTCTGCGTTTAGCTGAAGGAAGTTGTTTTGCATCCACTCACTGATCTGTTGGATACAGTGAAGGAGTGAGTCCACTGGTCCATGTTCTCCTGCAGTCAGTGAGACATAGATCTGAGTGTCGTCTGCATAGTTATGATAGGACACTTTGTTTCTGCGTATTAACTGACCTAACGGCGCATGTAGAGATTGAACAGAAGAGGTCCCAGGATCGACCCCTGTGGTACTCCACAGGTCAGGGCCATATGATCTGAGACACAGTTTCCAATCTCCACAAAGTACTTCCTGTCTTCAAGGTAAGACCTAAACCAACTTAGGGCGGTTTTTGCCAGCGACGCCAACCCAGTCCTCTAGTCTCTGTAAGAGGATCTCTGGTCGACAGTGTCAAAGGCAGCACTTAGATCTAACAGGATTAGGATTGAGACTTTGCCTGCGTCAGTGTTTTAGCCGGATATCGTTTGTAACCTTGACAAGAGCAGTCTCCGTGCTGTGGTGGGGTCTAAAGCCGGACTGAAACATATCATGAGTTGTTGATTATAAGAAATCTATTTAGCTGTTGGTAGACAACTTTCTCAAGGACTTTCCCCATAAATGGCAGATTTGAGATGGGACGGTAGTTGTTAAGTACCGTAGACATCCAGACTGCTCTTTTTTAAGCAGGGGCCTGATGACTGCAGTTTTCAGGGCCTTGTGGGAATATTCCAGAATGAAGGGACATGTTTACTATCTGTGTGAGTGAAGGTTAACAGACTGCTCAGAACAGACTTTAGAAATCTAGTGGGTAGTACATCCAGCTGATGTGGAGGAGCTCAAACTGGAGAGGAGATTATCTCTTGGACAGTTTGATCATTTACAGACGTGCAAAGTAAGTTAGCTCAAAGAGCCTTTTGGGCTGTTGATGGTTATCTGTGGATTGGAGACCAATGGCGTTTTTGATGCCTTGAACCTTGTCATTGAAAAAATGTGCAAAATCATTACATTTACGTTTGGAAGTTAGCTCTAATGGCATTTGAACAGGGGGTTTTTTATCTATTTAACTGTTGATGAAAACAGAACACGCAGATTGTTTGCTGCAGCCTTTTTTCAATCATTTCAGAAAAATACCTTTCTCCTCGTACTACGTAGCACCTGGTTAAACTCGCACAACTTATCTTTGATGAAGATCTCGTTAATCAACCTGGATGGTTGGACTTGCGCCACTTCCCGCTCGGCCCTCCGGCACATCTTCTTTTGTGCCCTGACCGAGTCTGCTTTAGCCCACGGCGCCCTTCTGCTTATTTTCACTGTTTTAACCTTCACAGGAGCGCCATGGTTGTCCAGAACATTTCAAAACACTAGAGGTGACAGAGTTAAACCAGTTCATCTACAGTAGAATACGACTGCATTCTCAAAGTTTATCATTCCCATAAATAGTTCACCCGTTATTTTCATGTATGTGTCTTCTTTCGTACAGTTGCAGAGTCCACTGGTGGTGTGTTAGTGAAACACATGTCAAAAATACACTAAAATGATCCGAAAGAAAGCGCAACATCGACCACGTTTACATTTGAAATATTCACCCCTTTGTAACTAACAGGTCTTAGAGTGTGCCCTCTGCTGTGGGTGGGGCCACTCACAGCTGGAGTGAGACCCCAAATGGTTATCAAGGTACAAGAACTCAGGCTCGTTTGCATTTCTGTCATCAACATTATCACATGAATATTAAAATCACTGTATTAACTAAACTATCAAAATCTGTGCTTACACTGAAAGCAACTCTGTAAATTATCAATAAAACTGTGACATGACTGCGGTGGCTTGTGTATAGGACTATGAAGAGTATTGGAGGAGATTGTTTTTGTTGTATTTTAAAAGTCCACATATTCCAAAGGACGGAAACTTCCAAGTGACATTCTATGGAGACAAAGTGGTCTCTCTAAAAATGGCAGCTAAGCCGTCCTCCTTTTTGTTTTCCGGATTTCAGATACTTATTTGAATTTGGTGGTGATGCTTCTATTAAAATCTGCATTTTCTTGTATTTTGGTCAAGCCATGTTTCAGCCATGAACATAAGGACTCTAGATTTTAAGAACAAATAAGATTATTGATTAAAAAAAAGACTTGTTACAACGAGATCTGACATTTGCCATAGAAGTTTCAAAGTTTCAGTATCAGCGGTTTGTGGTCGGCTGATTCTTACACGGAACACGAATTAGAATTTTCCTGATTTTAGGACTGATTAACTTCAGATGTTTTTCTGTAATGTATTCTTTGTGTTATCACTTAGGGAATAGCAACAGGTGGCTTCATGACAGGCGCCCCAGCCGGGTCTCCTCCTCTAACTAGACTGCCAGAGGCTGCGAAGCAGAGTCCCTTGTGCATCCTAGTGTTTAGAGAAAAAAGGGAAGGGGGGAGAAGGCGGGGGAAGAGGATGGAGAGGTGGGTGGGTTCTCTAGGGGAGTTGGACGGGGGGGGGGGTTGAGGGTGGATGGGTTTTTGGTGATGGGTAGGGGAGGCGGCAGGCTGAGTTGGGGTGTGTGGAAGGTGG